TTTTTTTTTTTTCGGTCTCTTTTTGGTGGGGTGGGGGTGGGCTAAAGCCATAGGAAGAAAAATGTGATGTATGTGTCCAGTATGTACTATTTTGTTTTTGTTTTGCAAGAAGAGTTGAACTATTTTTGATAACAAGAGTAAATGGTGGAAAATGCTTCTTAGTTGTCTTGTCTTTATTTGCTTTCCAAGTTTTGGAATTTTATTTAATTCCTTTAAGTGTTAGCAGTGTTTATGAAACATGTATTTACCTAAAGTTTGTAACAGTTTTGTGTTGAACCCAGATACCCTGCTATATAAACTTGTAAATCTGTTCTTTATTCACTAATGATCACTGCAAAAATTAGTAGAAATGATATTGTACAACACATGGATGAGTAGGATATATTTTGCAAATCTCCCAAACTTTCCTAATATTATGATCTTAAAATTCTTGAAGTACTTTATTCCTTCCCAACTTTGATAATATAATATTAATTTTGTGTTTTTTGATGCATGGGAGGTTGGCAATATAGACAAAGTGGAAATCATTAGTATGTGAGGACCTTGATTGTTATGTAATATTGCCAATGATGAATTCAGGTTGTTTTTAGCACAAGTTTTCTCTTTTTTATGCTGGTATTCTCACTGCCACATTTTTGGAAACCTGTATTACACCTTAAATCTATCAATAAATGATAGTTTTCTAATTCTATGTTGTAGAATACTGAGGAATTTGGGATAGCATGCTCTGAATGGTCTGTTAATTTGGGGAAGTGTAAATAATTACAGTGCCTTGGTTTTATTTATTTCTTTATACTACAAGTATTTAGGAATGCTGACCAATGACTAGGGAATTACTAAAGTAACTGGATTTACTTCATCAGGATATGAAACTACAAGAAAAAGAACAGCATTTAATATGGCATGTCTTCAATGTTATAGCTGGACAGAATGCCATTATTTTAGTTATTTTTATGTGGTGTTAAGGATTGAACCTAGTGCCTCAACACATGCTAGGCAAGCACTCTGTCACTGAGCTATAGTCCCAGCCCTTCAATGTTCTTTTGAGTCCTTAAATAATAGTTTTAGAGCTGACAGTTTATCTTTTTGATTAGCCTTCATTAAATGTACATTTCTATGCAGAGATGCAGTTTGGTTCTAAGATAGAGAATTCCTTTTATTTCATCGTGTCCTGTGTTTTTCTAAATGATTCAATGGCAACTTTGCTGAAGAAAAGTAAAAGTTTTATCATAGATGAGAAAACTGTCCTTTTTCATACCATCGGTAACAAATGCTTTTTAACAAGTGCTTTAGAAAATAGTAAGTTCCAAAGTTTAGTGTCTGGATCTAACACTTTGCTGTTTATATATATTTATATAAATTTAGATATTTTCCCTTAAAAAATTATACATGATAGGTAAGGCTTGAAGTCCTGATTCCTCTGAACCCCTCACTCCCAAACCCCGATTCCTGTCCCCAAAGGAAAGCACTTCTCAGGTTGAGATATCCTTCTACACCTTTGTTCATAGTGTTCCCAGGGATTCAAAGAGTTACTTTAAAAAACTGAGGCTTGTTTATAGCATTACTTTTTCACACATAAATGAGTTGTAAGTGAGCAAAACCAGAAATTGATTATCTTAGTGAAACATGATTCATATTTGACAACTTTATTTAGCTTTGTGAAAAGGGAAAAACAAAAGACATGCAGTCTTCTCCACTCAAAACACACCTTAACATTTTCAAAAGCTGAGCAAATGACTGATCAGTCTAAAGTTTTATAAACACTCTGAATGGTACACAGTGACAAGTAAGATGCAGGAAAATACACAAAATTATATTAGTTTGATTACCTTGGCAATTATGCTATAAACTCATTAAATAGCTTTAAGGTAATGATAACTCTCAACCTAATATTTTGTCAAGGGACCTGGGATATTGTAATGACTTGAAATTTCCAGTTTAGCAATAATGATTATATTTAGCATGATCTTTACAAGTCAATTATGTTTTATATGTTTTATCCTAGTTCCCCAGAATTCACATTCCTTGAATTCAGCTCTAAGAAAGGAGTACAATGAAATACATGCATATAATTCTTAGAGAAAATGTGATAATTTGAAGAACCCAAATTAAATTATCCTATATTGGGATGGTGTTGCTAGTAGTACATTTTCATTCTGAAAATTTCTTTTGGATAATAGACTTTTAAAACCAAATACTGACCCAAGCAAAAGCTAGAGAACTTGAGTAACAAAAAACAAGATAAAAAAATTGAAGTCAAATACTTTGAAAAATATATATTAATTTTTGTTTTTTGGTACCAAGGATTGAACCCAGGGGTGTTTAACCACTAAGCTACATCCTCAGTCCTTTTTATTTTTTATTTTGAGATATGGTCTTGCTAAGTTGCTTAGGGCCTCACTAAGTTGCTGAGGCTGGCCTTGAATTTGTGATCCTTCTGCCTCAGCCTCCCATGCTGCTGGGATTACAGGTTAGTGCCACCATGCCTGGAGGGAAAAAACATATATTGCACAACTGAATTTAGTTATACTTTTTGGTGAGGGTCAGAAAGTTTAGGTCATTATGGACAACAAACCTGTAAACCATGTTTAGTTTCCTAAAATATTACTTCCTTCCTTTTATACTTTTATCTGAAATTTAAAAAGCTTTCTTTTCCTGGTAAATGATGAATGAGATTGCTGGTAAATTTCATGTATCATAAATTATTGTGTGTTTGGGATATTGTATGCGGTGTTTCCTAAAATTTCACTCATTTTTAAAACTATTAGCTGTAATAGTTATTTCTTTAGCTGTTTAATGGAAGATCAGTTATCATGAATAAAATAACAAGAAACTGGGAGGACCTTTTGACAGGCAATATTGCTGTCTTACAGTATTAGTTGGTATGCACTTCCTAAATTCTCTTGTCTCTGCTTTTTGCTTGCCATATCCCAAGGTTTTATTTCAGTCCTTAGCTTTTATACCAGCAAGGGGAACCAAGGTGGAATTGAAAAGGAAGCTACTCCAACACTTTAAATGCTGGTTAAAAGAAAAAAAGTCTAGGGAAACTTGATGAACAGAAATATTAAAAAAGATGCTTGGGTGGGGCTTCTTTTACTTGTGTCAGAAATACCCATCCTTTTAAGTAATTCTTTTCAATTTTGATCCTTCTTCCCATCCCCCTCCATAGTGTAGGATTTGGCTGTACTGTGGCCACCTGAAAAATGTAGGATTCTGAAATGAACACATCTATCACTATGGTAAATAACAGCTTTCTTTTCATGGGTGCCATCACTGTTTTTCCATTTCTGTGAGGAATACTGAGGTGGATGAAAGCTGGTGAACAGTTTCAACACTGAAGTAAGGAATAATGTTTAAGGTTTTGCTTTTGGCCTCATTTAATACTCATTGCAGAAAGGAATACAGTAAGAATATTTATTTCATACAGTACATCATCATTTTAAGTCTTTGATTAGCTCTTCTGTTAGTGTGAAGATAGGGCATCAATTAATTTGGAGATTAACATTATCATTTAATAGTTCTCTATAACTGTGAGATAAAAGGACCTTATTTTTTCAAGTATGAGTCAAATTCTGCACTTATGAAGATATTTTTTTCTTGATATTTTATGTAAAATCCACAGTCAAGATGGGGAGGTTGCCAGAGCTTGGAAGGCCCAGTGGTTACAATACCTGAGGATGTAAAGTGACTAGCAGTTTGGCAGGTTATTGTGAAATTAACATTGAACCAGGTTAGTTCAAGATCTTTGAACTCCAGTACACAAGATTGAGTCTTTGAGATGTTTTGGCAGTGCTTTTTATTACTAGGGCTAAGTCAATTCTGGAGGCCCTTAATACTTGAAATTCAAGTTCCAGAATTAATTTTTGACTCAAGTATTCTGCAAGTGAGTGTTTCTTCTAGGCTCCATAGGAGCCCTTAAGGGCCTCAGGGATGCTGGCCAACACTGAGGCAACTTCTGCTGCTGTGCAGAGAACTAATTGCTTGGCACTGTCCCAAGAGATCCTTGGTACATTCAGGGGTGTGTAGGTGCTGATTTTCAGACTTCGGAAGGTGATGGATGGCAGGCACATCCTTACGTTCACTTCCAAGGAAAATTCTGCAAGAGGTTTCAGGCAAACTGGAGGAGTTGCCTAAGTTGAGGGTGTATCTATACCCACTGCTTAAAAGCATTTTAAAGTTCCCAGTGCAGATACACTCTTGGGAGAAATCAAAGCCTTTAAAAAGCAGTATGCAAACTAGGGCATCTCTTCACAAGAAAAGAGTATTTAAAATATCTTCCTTTTATGTAGACATTGGCAGCTACTCTTCATCCACTGACTGAAGCTTTCCATGTTTCTCTGAAAGGCTTGAATTTATTTTATTGCCTTTGTTTCCAAATTCAGAGGGAGAGGCAGGTTCATCTGTTTCATAATCTTCAAAAGAGCTGAAAGAAAAAAGCAAAATTAAGTTGCTGAGTTTTGAAAAATGTTCTAATATTTGTGTAGAAGTCAATATATAAAATAGAAGGAGAAATAGCTTGAAGAAGTACCCTCAGTTGCTAAATGGCGGCTGTAAACAACTGCTGTCCCAGAGATAACACTCTTAAGTTTTAAGGAACAGGAACAATGTCTCTGCTCTTAAGTCTCTGTTAGAATTCACAGAAAATGTACTATATGAATGAGGCTTTCCTTATAGGCCTTGGTGGAAAAAAGCATTATGGATGGTGCCCATAGGTTAAGGAGTGTTAGGAGCTTTACATGAATGTTTTTTACTCAAGTGGTTTCCACCCAGACTTACACTTTCTCAACTCTTAGGCTGCTTTATAGTTTTCCTCCATAGCTTCCAATAAGCACATTCAGATGTGCAAGTGTGTGCACAGAGCATGCTAAAGCCCATTCATGGATTTCCTTCCATTTTGTTTTGCAGGACTTCACAGCACAATTAGATGTTATTGCTAGAAAATTAAACTCTGCTCTCTTCATGTCTTCCATGCTGTCCCTGATATTTGCTTTAGGCAAAGATGACAAAATATCTTGTTGGATGATGGCTGCCTGAAGTTTTGAATTGATAAATATTCTGAGGCTTCATCTGAACCCAGAAGCATACGTACACATGGTCATTTACTTAAGTCTCTTTGAATTTGACATCATTGGCTTAGCCTTGTTACTTTTTGGAGGGACCTTCCACAATCTTTGAGCAGAAATTTCTGGATGTACAAGGCCAACTAGTGATTTTTTTTTGGGGGGGGGTGCTCGGGATCAAATCCAGGAAGACCTCATGTATGCTAGGCTTCTCTCTGGTTCCACCCTTTCTGAAGTGGGGTCTCACTATGTTGCTCAGCCTGGCCTTGAACTACTTTGGCTCAAGTAATCCTCCCCTGTCTTCAGGGTTGATGGGACTACAAGCACCTACCATTATGCCTGGCTCTTTGAACAGATTAGAGGAGGTTAAAACTTTAAAAAGCCTACCTGGTGTTTGGGAAATTGTTCCCTATGAATACCACCTTATGATACTATCAGAAATTAATAATCATTTTGCAACAATACTACAATTCCTGGTTTGTTTCCACTCTTATGTCCCTGTATCTTTGAGGCCTTAATGGAAGTGGATATGCTGGATGAGGCAGTTAGGAGTTAGTTAAGTGGTGGGTGACAGAGCCTTCATTTTGGGGAACAAAATTCTCAAAAAGTTTAGTCGTAGGATGTAACACCATTTTCTGTCAGAATGGAAAAAACATTTTCTTCTCCTTGGTGCATGAACATGATTCTGTAAGTTGTCAGTATCAACACAGGTTTGAGAATAAGAATTTTCAGAGTTGTCTGAAGTGAGACTCATTCAATAATATTTGAACTCTTGTTGCTAAGCATGAGCCAAATGCTAAAAATACAATGGGGGAAAGAGTGAACCAGCGCTGCTTCACAGCACTTGGAGTCTAGTGGAGGCAAATAGAAGACTGCTACCGATTTAGCTCTAGAGCATGGGTTTTGGACTCAGGACTCTACAATCTGTTCCAATCTGAATTTGCTCCATGTAACATTGAGTATATTACCCCCTCTACATCAGTTTTCTCAACTATTGAGTTCCTATTCCTCAGAATGCAGTGCAGATCAGGATGTGATAAACTTGACAAATGTTACCTACAATTTTTGTGATGAAGTATTGAAGCTTTTCAAAGCATGGCAGTGAGACCTAATCCTCTTTAAGGGGCAGGATTACAAATTTTTATCTTGAGTAAAACAAGAGAATTGCAAATTCAAGGTCAGTCTGGGCAACTCAGTGAAACCCCATCTCAAATAATAAAATAGGTCTTGGAATACAGCTCAGTGGTAGAGCACCCCTGTTCAATCACCAGTACTGCAAAATATAAAAATAAGGGAGTTTATCCATTGACCGCCCTTGAGATTCTCAACTGGGGTGATTTTGCTCCCAGGTGTCATTTGGTAATGTCTGGAGATACAGTTGATGATCAAAACTGGGTGTGTCTTACTTGCACTAGTTATACCCAAGGATACTGCTAAACATCCTACAATATGCCAGAAATGCCTCTCGATGGAATTACCCAGATTAAAACATCAGTGCTATTGAGAAACCCTGCTTTACCCCTTTCCCTTCAGTGTCTGCAGGTGAGATTTTGGACTAAGTTCTCCTTTTGTACTTCCCTGGCAATCTATTCTCACCATGCTTTGCCCACCACTTGTTCACCTATGGCTTCTCAGCTTTCTAAACTGAAGACCTCTTGAATCTAGCTGCCTACTAGATGGGTCTTTCAGGATGGCTGCTTCTACAAACCTGAACTCACCTTTCCTGCTGCCCTTGTTCTTCCTATTTTAATATTACCATTAACTCCTCGAAGCCAGAAACCTAGTTATCCCAAGTTCTTCCTCTTTCCCTTTTATTTATTCAAATCCAGCCAGTTTCTTCTTTTTTTAAAAAAATATTTTTTTTAGTTGCCAATGAATTTTTAACTTTGTTTATTCATATGTGGTGCTGAGGATCAAACCCAGGGAATCACACATGCTAGGCAAATGCTCTCTACCACTGAGCCACAACCCCAGCCCTCCAGCCCTTCCTGCTTCTTGTACCTCATAGACACAGTCCTGCTTCTTCCTTCCTATTGCCATGGACTTAGTGTAGCRCACTGTACTTTCCTGCTTCGATTACTAGTTTCCTAATAATTGGTCCTCCATATTCTTTGCTACTGCCATACAAGGCTGTTAACCATGTTGGAAGGGTTATGGTCATATGCCATGTATATATTTTTGAATTGCTTGAAGTATCTTGGCTAACTGTTCATCTTTTCACCTGAGATGTCACTTGGGTTTCCTGAGTCCTTGCTTTTCGAGCTACCACTATCTATTATATAGATGTCTGTAATGGCTTCCTTAATATTATTTTTGGTACTGGGGACTGAACCAAGGGGTTCGTTACCACTGAATTTTATCCCCAGTCCTTTTATTTTGAGTCAGGTTCTCACTAAGTTGCAGGCCAGCCTTGAACTTAACAATCCTCCTCCCTCAGCCTCCTGAGTTTCTAGGATTATAGGCACAGATCACCATGCCTGACATGGCTTCTTTATTTCTCTTCATATTTCTATTCTTGCACCTCTGCCAATCAATCTATCAGAATAATCTTCGTTTAAGTGTGTGTGTGTGTGTGTGTAACATATATATACATATATACATTTTTAAAATTTTTTTTGTACCAAGGATTGAACCAGGGTTGCTTAACCACTGAGCCACATCCCCAGCAAACCCCCCCCCTTTTAATACATTTAAAAATATATTTATTTATTTTTATGTGGTGCTGAGGATTGAACCCAGTGCCTCACACATGCAGGCAAGTGCTCTGCTCTACCATTGAGCTACAACCCCAGCCCCTTTTAAATTATATATATATATATATATTTTTTTTTTAATATTTATTTCTTTAGGTGTAGATGGACACAACACAATGTCTTTATTTTTATGTGGTGCTGAGGATTGAACCCGGGTCCCGCCTATGCTAGGGGAGCGCTCTACTGCTGAGCCACAATCCCAGCCCCTTAAATAATATTTTGAGACAGGGTCTGGCTAGGTTGCTTGGGGCCTTGCTAAGTTGCTAGCTTTCAACTTGTGATTCTCCTACCTCAGCCTCCCAAGCCTCCAGTATTCACTTTTTTTTTTTTTTTTTTTTGGTACGGGAATAGAACCCAGGAGTGATTAATTGCTGGGCCACATTCTCCAGCCCCCACTTTTAATTTTTTAAGTTGTAGATTTTTATGTGGTGCTAAGATCAAACCTAGTGCCCTACACATGCTAGGCAAGTGCTCTTCCTCTGAGCTACAACCCCAGCCTCTCACTTCATTTTAAATTTTTTTAAAATATTTTTTTAAGTTGTCAATGGACCTTTATTTATTTATATGCAGTGCTGAGAATTAAACCCAGGGCTTCACACGTGTGAGGCAGGTGCTCTCCACTGAGCCCCAGCCCCAGCCCCAGTCCCTCACTTCATTTGTGGTGGCTGAAGGATCTCTTGTAGTTTCCCAAGGTCATGAATGATCAATTATAAATTCTTATTGTGGATGTAGAGAGGATGCTAATAATGAACCTCAGGGGGGGTGGGACAAAATTTCATTTTTATTACCAAACACTAAGCCTGGAATAGGACAGGTACCAGTAATAATCTATAGAAATAAATTAAAATTGAGCTTTGATTTGTTTTGTTGAATGTGGAAAAAAAAGTAAACCTTAGCTTCAGGTCCATATATTTATTGAGCATTGTACAAAAATGCCTCAAAACTATTCTATTTGTGAAGTTATAATTTATGCTTTAGAATATTCTTGTCTTCCTTTTCTATTCCTACATCCCAGTATATATACAGACCTCCTCATCCCTGTTCACTGTTAATTTCTCTTACCTCACTGAGGGTAGTGAGGCTCAGACAAGCTCTCACCTCACTAGCTATGTTCCTGGAAGCATGATGCGCTGATGGGTTTTTGGTTGGTCACTTTTGCCTGTAGGGCCTTGTGTTCCAGTGCTGATAGAAGTCAATATAGAAATCTTACAATGAGTAATTTAATTAAGTTGGTATTTAATATAAAGGAAAAAGCTGCCTTTTAAAAACATTCAGTATAAAACAGTTCTTACAAAGTACCTAAACGTCCAATAATGAAGAAATGGATGTGAGTTATTGCTCGTGAGAATGCACTGAAGCATTAAAAGTCATGCTTTTGAACACACTACTAACATTTAAGAGTCAAGAGAAATACAACAAAGCATAAATAACGATGTTATCTCTGGCCTGCTGAACCAAGAGTGGTTTTTAATCTCTTTATAATTTTCAGTTTTTCTTCAGCAAGCCTGTATTTTTCTATGAATCAGATTCCCAGAACAAGGAAAACTGTTTAATCTGGGTTACTTAATGCAAAGCTGTTGGTAAAATATCAGAATATCCTCCTGTAAGAG